CCCCAACTTGTGCCGGGGCGGAAGGAGGCCACGTACGGGATCATTGAGGTTGCATCGATCGAGCGCATTGTCCATGTGTGCAAGTCCTTTACTAATCCTAGAGTCAGGCTACTCAATAGGTTTGCACTCATCGACTGATGGATTTTAACGCATTGCGACATGAATAACAATATGGCCCAAAGTGTCGCCCCAAACATGGAGTCATAGCGTTGTTTTGATACGGAATCGGGGTATGGCCGGGATCAGTGGTGAACTTGATACTTCGAAGTCACAATTGTAACTGCAAAGTAGCATTGGCGACACTTCAGTGTCGTTGCTGCAATGTCACTTTGGCCACTCAGGTGCAATTGTGCGCGCCGATGGTTTTCCGAAGCTTTTCCGAAGATTTCCCGCAGGAAAAGCTACCGTGTACATTTTGTGCAAACTCGGAATTTCGCGATGCAAGGTCCAGGAGCTGGGGGTGGTGCAGGTGGTGCTGCTGCTAATGTAGGTGGTTCGGGTGCTGAGGGTGGTGCAGGTGGCTCTGCTGATGGTGGGCTAGCCATTTGCAACAACAGCAGCAGCAGCCCCAAAGCCAGCAGTCCGGAGCGACAAACTGGCGGTGCGCAAAAAATAAATGTGGCGTCGTGGGTGGTTGTGCGGGTTCTCAAGCGAAGCTCCCTGACAGCTGAGGAGCAAGCGATGATGCCACTGCAGCGGATGGTGGCACAGCAAACGATGGTAGCGCAACAAGCAATGCATGCGCATCAAGCAATGATAATGCAGCAGCAGGGTGGGATGGTTGCTTTCCAGGCTGTGAATCCGTGGCCTTCGACGCAGCAGCAAGGGATCAAAGAAGAGCATAAACCAGGCTATGCTGGTGGGGCTAGGAGAAGCACATTTGGTGCTACTGGTAGTGAAGGCGGAGTGAGGAGCACAACTGGTGCTGGTGATGAAGTTGGAGCTTATGGGAACGCAGGTAGAGCTAGTGGGAGCGCAGGTAGAGCAAGCAGTTCAGGAAATAAGTCAACGCAGGAGCCAGTGGAGGAGGAACAAGCCCCAATTGTTCCGGAAGTAGCAGGAGCAGAAGCAGAAGTGGGGGCACCAGTAGGAGCAATGGCGCATGCAGTAATGGATGTAGCAGGAGCAGGGGCAGAACTGGGAGCAACAGCAGGAGCAGCATTGATAGCCGCTGCAGTGCAGCAGGGGTTGTCTTTCCAAAAACAGCAAAGCAGTAGCGCAGCAGTGCAGCAAGGGTCTTTGTTCCAGCAGCAGCAAAGCAGCACCCCAGCAGGCCAACAAGGGTCATCACAAGCAGTCTGTTGCAAGCAGCAGGAGCAACTGACGGTATTGCCTTCACCAGTTGCCACCGCTCCAAAAACAGCCACTTCCCTGCTTCACCTCCCCCTCCCCCTCACCCACACCCGCACCCTCACCCAAACTCGCAATCTCAACAACACCCACTTCCAGCTTCCCTCTCTGCCTCTCACAGAATCACAGATTCACCGAGCTGGTTACACGGTTACATCTCAGCAAAGCCACGGTTCACATCAACAAAGCAGTTACCAGCAGGTGATTGCAGGCCCTTCTTCCCCTTCATCTGCTCCTCTGCACCCGCTCCGTCCTTCCTCTTCTCCTTCAATCTCTGCATCCTGGTCAGGTGCCCCTCAGCCTAGTAAAATGCACACCCCAGCCATCCTTCCGACGTTCACTGCTGCTAATCATGCTGCTGGAGCTGCTGATACGGCCACTGCTGCTGCTGCTGTCGCTGCTGCTGCCGCTACTGCTACTCCTACCGTGGCCTTTGCTGCTGCTCATAGTAGTATTATCCCAGTTGGTGCAGCTGGGTCAGCTGGGCTATGTGACAGAGCAGCAGGTGAAGCAATCGGTTATCAAGATATGCAGCAACTGGCTGATCTCCTCAAATCTCTTGTAGGGAATCAGATCAACACCAGTGCACTTGGTGCAATGACAGCCTTTCCCACTGCTTCTCCACTTGCTGCTTACAGCAGTTCTGATACAGCTCCTGCCCCTCCAACTCCTCCTGATGCTGCTGCTGCTATTCCAGTTGCAGGCTGTTTCCGACCCTTTGGAGGCAATGATTCAGTACCCTCATACTTCGCTGCACCACCCTCGACATCAGTCCAGCAGGGGAAAAGGCACAAGGCACAGCACGCAGTAACATTAGGCCACCAACAGCAGCAGCAGCAGCATGGCCAGTACCAGCAGCATCAGATGCTTCAGCAGCACCTGCCTCAGCGGCAAGGAATCTGTCACACCGTCCCTCTACCACTTTAGGCTCCCCTTCAAGGCACCAACCAGTATCAAACGCCCTCTCATGCCTCCTACACCCAGTTGTTGCAAGGGGCGTTGGAGGGACACGGCGAGCAAGGGAGGTTAGACGTGAGTAGCTCGGGTGACAGTCTGCTGCATTCCAGTGTGTGGGACAGAGGTGCGGCAGAGGTTTCTAGAGGAAGGATGGATGGAGAGAGGAAAGGAGGAGAAAATGGCGGGGTCGGTGGTTTGGAGGCGATTTTTCTGCTCACCAGCACGTATGGAGGAGCACGGGGCTGTGGGATGGTGCACAGAGAAGCTGTCTTGCCGGGACGGGTGGGAGTTGCAACAGCAGGAGTGGCAGCAGCAGGGGTGGCAGCAGCAAGGGTGGCAGCAGCTTCTGTGAGAGCTGGATTAACCAGGGAACAATCAACTGAGGAAGAGTTAACTGGGGAAGAATTAACTGGGGAAGAATCAACTGGGGAAGAATTAACCTGGGAAGAATCAACTGGGGAAGAATCAAGTGTGGAAGTATCGACTGGGGAAGAATTAAGTGGGGAAAAATCAAATGGGGAAGAATTAACAGGAGAAGAATCAACTGGGGAAGAATTAACTGGCGCAGGTGTTATGGCAGTAGGGGGTGGGGTTTCAGTGGCAGGGGTAACTGCAGCAGCGGTAGGAGGAGGGGACCTGCTGACATCGCTAGATGGGTTGGAGCTAGCAGATATAGAGGCGCTTCTACTGAATGTGGAGGGAGAGTTGGAATTTATCAGCAGCAGCATGGTCAGCGAGTTCAGCCAGCCTCACAGCCAGCCTCCTAGTAGCAGCACTGTCTGCACCATTGAGCCCATTAGCAGTGGCATGGCCATCAGCCAGCCGCCTGAGGGACTGGCACCATCCGTGGCACTGGGATCATCTTTATTTACCCCCATGCATGGTGGGTCTGAAGGCTCGTTTGCATCAGAGGAGGGGTTTGCTGCGGTCATGGCTGCTTGTCACACTGCCAGTGCCACTGGTAGCAGCGACCGCATGTGTTCTAAGAGGCAAGGTGCTCTGTTGCTGCCAACGACAATTCTCCCGGCTCTGGGAAGTGTGTCACTGGATCGGACACGGGCAGATGGAGCAGCAGAAGCAGGAGATAAATCAGTGGTATCAGCAGCAGGAGAGGCAAGGGCTGCAACTGCAGGCAGGATTGTTGATGTATCTGGGGATTCACAAATGGGGAATCTGGGATTGAGCAGCAGTAAGGGCACTGGAAGGAAGCTCTCTCCCAAAAGGAGTCGTGAAGAGGACGGCTGATGCTTGCCAAGAGCAAATATTTTAGGAGCCTTTGTATCTCTTGGGGCTGTTAGTGTACATAGAGTGGTGGTGACAACTCTAGCCCATGAGAAATGAGTAGAGCTGACATGTGAAGATAGTGTACCGTATTCTCCCGGGTAAAACACCCTAGGGTATTATGAAAACCACTGGGAAAAAATAGGGGGGGTCTCCTCAAAGGAAAATCCTGCATAATACCTGGGTCTTATTATATGGTATATTTTTTATGAAGCAGAAAAGATGTGAAACAAAATCAAGGGGTCTGACTTCACTTCAAGATTGTTGATCAGTGCCGCAAAACTGAGTATACGAGGATAACGTGACTGCCCACTGGAATCTGCCACGTGGCAAATTCCAGTGGGCAATTCTGGCACTTGATAGGGTGAAAACAAAGCCAATTGCGTAGCGAGGGTTCATGCAACCGCCGAGGCCAGAATCACGCACGGTGGTGCGTTGTTACTGTACCAGTCAGTTCTTGACTGGTTTGGTCACGTGTCTATGCCTCATGTGAGAAGGTGATTTTCACCTCTTGGGCCTCTTGCAGCGGAAGATTCGCTTGCGTGGCGAGCGACAGCGAGATTGTGGGAGGGGGGAAATCTCGGTAAATTCTACGGTAAGTGAAAGTACACGCGAAATTTCATCCAGGGAGCAATTCTCGCGATATCCCCCCGTAAGGAATCCAACTCAATAACAACTATAATAGGAATCTATAAGAAAAGGGGGGTGTTATAGAGAATCACCCCAAAAGGGGGGGTATAGTACTAACGGGGTCGGATATAACACCCACCCCGTATTAGCTACCCGGGGGTGTACAATTACGGTGGGTGGTTTTATCCGGGAGAATACGGTACCTTCCATTTCCCTGCAAGTGCTGGAATTTGCGTACCGTCATCCCGTGGATACGCATAGGTGCATGATAAAGAAACTGAAAGGAGAAAGGAAGAAAAGAAGATTAAAGAAAATAGATGTAATATATCATACAAAACTAGATGGCATAAACAACATTGATATTGGCACACGTAGTTGTAGTTCTTGTCATTGTGTCCTTCAATATAGTTGACATGATAGTGGGTTGTGCATGTCATTCTCTTCAGTTTGGAATTTGAATAGCTTGAGGCTATTGTGCGGTTGTTGATGAAATAATACCACACTTAGAACAATGAGAGAAAAAGAAAGTTGAGCAATTAAGGCTGTCGCTTGATGTACAAAATAACCATAGGTTACGTGTGCAATCGAATGAGCAAATGGGGATTGTCTTAATTTGCATAGGATGTAGGTACTACTAAGCTTGAATGAAGTTTGTACTTGAAGAATTGGATGAAATATTTATTTCCTATCTACAACACATTTTTTGCATGTACTCCTACGGCTTCTATCCAACTTCTCAAAGAATAACGAGCTGATTTCGGGGAATAGGAAGGGCATTATTCCTACCGTTTCATGTCGACGCTATCCATTGACCCTGAGCCAGGTGTCACCATCATATGCACAAAACAGCTTCAGGGAAAGACATCTGCCCATGAACCAGCTGCTTAAAATGCAAAATCAGAAGTCCTCTTCACGGCTTCTTTTGGGAGATTGCATCCTTCCAGTGCCCTGGCTGCCGCGATTCCCTCTTTGTGTTTCCCCTGAAACACTGGCAATCATGCTTGTAGTGGTTGCTTCTGCACCTGCAGATGCACCTACTTCTCCTGCTTCTGCTGTTGCTGCTGCGGTTGAGCCTGCAGATGCTGCTGCTGTAGATGCTTCTCCTGATTCTGCTGCTCCATCTCTCCATGTTTGACCCACTGTCAGAGGTACCGCTGGTGATGGAAAGAATGATTTGGGCAGTGACTGAGCGCTGCCAACCATGCTGCTAAATGGATGCGGGCTGAGCTCACTGACCATGCTGCTGAACGTGCCCAGTTCTCCCTCCGCATCCATTAGAAGCGCTTCTAAGTCTGATATCCCCAACCCATCCACCGGAGCCATCAGGTCCCCGCCTCCTCTTGCTGCCGCCGATTTCCCAGCTGCCGCGGCTGCCCCTGATGCTGCATCTCCAACCCCTGATGCTGCATCTCCAACCCCTTCTGCTGCATCTCCCATCCCTGCTGTCTCCACTCCTGCTCTCTCCACCCCTCCTGCTGCTGCAGCACCCACAGCAACTTCCGCCACCCCTGCACCGGCTCCTGCTACCCCTGCTGTTGCAACTCCCACCCATCCTGGCAAGTTCGCGTCTCTGTGATCCATTCCAGAGCCTCCTGCTCCTCCATACCAGCTGACATGGCGGATAATCGCTTCCAAGCCACCATCCCCACTGTCCCCTCCAACCCTCCCCTCTCCCTCCTTCCCCCTTCCAGCCATCTCTGTTCCACCTCTCCCCCACGCGCTGGTATGGAGTAGCGAATCACTCTGGGTTTCTATCTCTGTCCTCCCTTGCTCACCCTGCCCACCCATTGCCCCTTGCAATGACCCAGGATGGTTGTAGCTGTGGGTGGAGCGAAAGGGCGTTACATACTGATTGGCACCTTGCAGAGGGACAGCTGGGCAGGAAGCGCTTCTGGGACGCGGGGGGGCGGGACTGAGTTCCTGCTGCTGAGACATGTGCTGCTGAAGCATTTCATGCAGGGAATATTGGTCATGCTGCTGCTGCTGCTGCTGTTCTGGGTACCCAACATTCACTATGTGCTGCCCCTTGTGTCTTTTCCCCTGCTGGGCTCCTGCCACCGAATATTGGGATGCTACAGCAGAATTTGGGGGTGCTGCAACCGATCGCGCTGCTGTGCTATTCAAGAGCCCATTTGAAGCCATATTGAGAGCTGCAGCCATTCTTTGAATGGCAGAGGCTATGGGAACCACACCAGAACTTGAAGCAAAGGCAGGGGCAGGAGCCGTAGCAGCCTCAGTCGAAGAAGCAACAGGATTTGCACTGGTGCGAGTTGTAGTGGCCGGTTCGGTAGAGGCAGCAGTGGTACTGGCTACTGGAATTCCTAAAATGGATTGGAGAAGATTTGCCAGCCGCTGCATCTCCTCCTGTTGGTTCTTTTGGCCTGCTGCTGTATCCCCTGTCTCAGCTGAATCAGCAGTACCAACTGGGTTAGTACTAGCACCAGCAGCAGCAGCAACACTAGCCGTTGTACGGGGGTGAGATTCACCAGATGAGGATGCAGACATGGAAGCAGAAGGGGCAGGACGGAAGGGGTGTGGAGGAGGAGCAGACCAGGAGGACAAAGGGGCTGCGATCGCCTGCTGGTAACTGCTCTGCTGTGGTGTACTGTGGCCTTGCTGTTGCTGAGAGGTAACCATGAAACCAGCTTGCTGGTTTGGTGGTGCTCTCGTGAGTGGCAGAGAGAGAAGCTGAATGTGGTTGTGGGTGGGGGGGAGCGGAAGGAAGGGATTGGCTGGTGTCAGCACGGTGGCACCTGGTGTAGGTGGTATTGTCATTCTTTCTGGTACTGTCATTCCTTCTGGAACTACCATCTGATCCTCCCCAGTGCGCATCCCCTGCTGCATCACCTCCCATAGCCCAAAAGGCTCTGCCTCTGCTTGGACCTGAATAAGAGGGTCTCCGTCCCTGCTGCAAGGTGGCTCTGAGGACTCTACTTGCAACAAAAGCTGCCTGAATGATGGGTCGGGATAGAGCACTTGCTCTAACTCGTGCTGTACTGACGGGATGTTCTGTTGGTGCTGCTGCTGGAGCAATGAGCCCTGCTGCATGGCTGTATTGCTGCTTTGTTGCTGCTGGGACAATAGCCCCTGCTGCACTGTTGCCCTGCTGCCATGCTGCTGCTGCTGCTGCTGCTGTAGCAACAACAGTTGCTCCAGTAGTGGATGGGTCAATAACCCTTGCGGCGTTGTTGGCCTGCTGCTGCCAGCACCAGGCTGGATAAAAGGAGAAGAAAAGAGTCCAGTGTGCGGGCTGGGCGGATTCAGGAGAGGGGAGGCGGGACC